AATACAACCTTACAATGCTCTCAACTCTCAACTCGCAGCACAATCTTCATAAGCAAAACCATTGCCTATTTATAGACTTTGATCTTCACCTAAGTCTTGTTCAACACAACTTCCTCAACAGAAGTTACACTCGAAATCGAATTTTTCGTAAAGCTCCTATTTTGTATTTGACTTGGACATAAACTCTTCCAGCAACTGCTTTCCTTTTTAATTAAGAAAACACGTTTTCTGCCTCAGGAAAAATTACCTCAACTTTCTTTAAATAACTTTGCTAAAAACCTGTTGAAAACAAAATTAAAAATTGAACTGCTGGACGAGCTTTTACTACCTGTTCTTCATGGAATTTACCATAGTTCAAAACACAGAGATTTAACAATTTGGATTGATTAGGATTTAGTGATCTAGTCTATAAATTTTTTAAAAAATAAAGCAATTAACTCGTGCCAAGAATATTTCTTCCTGGGTCAACTGGTCTTATCTTGTAAATAAAAAATTAAAAATATGATATTTTAAGGATTTCATATGATAATTATTAAATCAACTCGATCGTTAATTTATTTTAAGTTGAAGAAAGTTAAATTGATGGTGAACGTGGAACAAAACCTAATCTTTCTAGTTTTCTATCGGTGGTTGAGAAATTTCTGATAACTTCACATGTGATTTGTCATATATTACGACTCATTTTGTAATTTTATACTATGAAAAAAAAAATCCAATAAATTGACTTCAATCACAGTGAAATTTTATTATATATGTAAAAGATGTATAATGTGTTTTGTTTGGGAACTAGGGAAATGAAGATAAAATATACAAATGATTTAAATTTTCTTTGTTTGGTATGATGAGAAAATGATTGTTAATTATTCATATATATCGTGATTTAAGTTTATATAAATTTTAATAAAGAAAAGATTATTTTTTGAATTAATTACCTATATACATATTTTTATTTTTTATAATTTCCATCATTCCCTACTATTTTAAAATATTTTCAAAATTCCTCTTTTCCTCTCTCAAACTCCACTTTTCTATATTTTTCTTAATTTTCATTAATTCCTACCATTTCAAAAATATTCCCAAAATCCGTCTTTTTCCTTCCTCATACCCTATTGTTCTATATTTTTCATAATTTTCATTAATTCCTAGCATTTAAAAATATGTCCACAATTCTTTTTTTTCCTCCTCAAACCCTACTGTTCAAGATACATAATTCGTCAATATCCAAGCCTCTTCCTCTTTCACTCTCTCAATCTATTTCTAGTTTTACTCACTCAATCTTTATTTTTTTCATTTTTTTGTTTCAAATTTGTTCACTCTACGATCTTTAGGTTTTACACTACAAAATGTTATGTTTCTTTTGTTTTTTTTAAAAAAATTATAATCCAAGATAAACGTTAAATATTTGTGTGATCGTAAAATCCTTTTAGTAATAACTTTCCTTTTCTATTGCATTGCCAGCCTGATTTATGTTGTTGGTTTGTACAAGTTGACTGGTGGGCTGGATAGGCCGGTATCCATCACGGTCCACGATTTGAAAAGGCTTAATGGGCTGAGCGTTAGTAATTGGGCTTGCATCTTAGATCACATCTCTCTAGCTTCTTTGGGTTTCACTGTGGGAGGAAAATTATAGCCCAATGGCTAAGTTTTGAAGGAGAGTTTCATAGTTTATTGAAATCATATGGTTGGTTGCAGGGGTGTCAAATGGGTGGGTTGGGCTGAAATTTGAACAAGTTAAAAATGGGCTATCTGATAAAAAACGAGTTGAATTATAATCCGTTCAAATTTATTTTGGGCGCAAATGTGTTGGGCTCAAATGGTCTAAAACTCAGATTGGCTCATGACCCGGCCAATTTGGCATATTTTTTTTAAGAAAAATACTATTAGCAAGTAGAAATACAATACGATATTAAAAAATAATACAACACGACATTAAAAAGCAATACACACGTCATTAAGTAACAATAATCACACGATATATAATTAGCAATACAATACGATGAAATAATAAGAAGATATTAAACATCAAATAAGTTGTATTATATGAACTTTAAAACCACAGAGCAATATTATGTTTGTTTGTATTAAAATGTATCAAAATCTGCAATTGGATCAGTGATAGCATTAAATAAAATATGATAGCTTAAAAAAATATATCAAAATTTGACCGATACTTTTTTGCAGAAGGTTTAGTTTTATTTATTGAATGTGTATAAATAATAATAAAAATTTATGAAATCCATTGCATTTATAAATATGTACATATTCCATAAATTCAATAATACGTTAATAGAATTGAATAAGATCCTTATAAAATAAATTGTCAAATATTTAGATAATTCCTTAATTTTGACTAATTTTATAAGTTGTGTCACTTAAAATTAAGTATTGATCAGATTAATATAGATATTTTTATTCGATAAAATGAGTCTTATTAACACATTATTTTGAGATGTCAAATCAAGTGAGGTTCAATAAAATTTGATAGCGTGATATCTCAAATATTTATTACAGTATTATTAATTAAAATTAAAGTAATAAAATGTGGCCCCAACAATTAGAAGAAGAAGAAAGAGCTGATTTTGTTCCTTTTTGGCTTTGTTCCTTAGAAACTAGAATACAGTTTTAATGAAGTGGGTAGAAGTGGAGAATGTATTGGGTTCTACTTAGAATTAATTTAAAATGGATTTATTTGACTGGGTAGAAAATTGATCCAAATCTAAATCATGCTATACCCAACTCATAAAAGTATGAACGAATTATTAAGTTTAAGCTCATTTTTAACTAAGATTGTTTTCATCTCTTGTAAATATTTATTTCTCGAATGAACATAATTATCTATTTTGTTTCATTAAGCATGAGTGGTCAAACCTGAAATTCATGGCAACTTGATCAGTAATAGCTTTAAATAAAATAGTGATAGCTTCAAATAAAATGTATCAAAATTTAATCGGCACTTTTTTTATATAAGGTTAGTTTTATTTATTGAAGGTGTCTGAATAATAATGAAAGATTTGTGAAATGCATTGCATTTATAAATATGTACATATTTCATAAATTCAATAATACGTCAATAGAATTAAGTAAGACCCTTATAAAAAGATAATCGAATATTTAGATATCCCTTAATCTTGACTGACTTCATAAATTGTGTCATTTAAAATTAACTAGTGATCAGATTAATATAGGTATTTTTATTTGATACAACGAATCCTATTAACACATTATTTTGACATGAAAAATCAAGCGAGGTTCAATAAAATTTGATAGTGTGATATCTCAAATATTTATTACAGTATTATTAATTAAAACTAAGGTAATTAAATGTTGGCCCAACAATTAGAAGAAGAAGAAAGAGCTGATTTTGTTTCTTTTTGTTTTTGTTCCTAAAATGTATCAAAATCTGTAATTGGATCAGTGATAGCTTCAAATAATATAGTGATAGCTTCAAATAAAATGTATCATAATTTAAATAATTTAGGGACAGTAATAATTCTTCCCACAAAAGATGGTCTATGGTACTCAATGACATGGGATCTTCATTCAAATTAAGAATAATTTCACCTCTTTAGTATCCCATAATGATTGTGAAGCTGACAAATTATCACATGGATTTAATTATAATGATATTTGAGCCAAGGTGATGATTGTGTTTTGTGAATGTGGAAAAATGACCAAGGTGAACGTTGTAGAAAAAGACCCCACATCTCAATTATTTACCGACAATAATTGCGCGGTCAATGCCTTTAATGTTTATTATATATTGTTTCAATTTTTTTAAAAAATTATAATATATTTTTATTTTAAAGTTAAATGAATAAAAATATTTAAAAAAATAAAATAATATAAGAAACTATTATTATGATCAAATTTTCTGATTAAAAAGATTTTTTTTCTATTGAATATATTAATTTTATTATTAACATATAGTATTTAACAATGGAAAATACTAGCTCACCTAAATAAAATTACAGATAATTGATCTATATATACTAGAAAAATAAGGATGGATCCCATAAACCTTTTTATTTAACTTCACATGCGACGATTAATGAAAAATCCGTACAAGGTTCACAATACATAATTATTGAACTGGGAACTCATGCATTTGGGCATGAGCTTGATATTGACAGGACTTTCAATTCCCTCCCATACTTCTGTAAGAAACTTATTTTCTACCCGACGGGTGTATTTTGTAGGAAAGAAAATATTTTTTGATTTTATTTTAAAATATTTACATAAATTTTAAGAGATCAACACACCATTAAAAATAAAGGCTATTTTCATTTAAAAAATAAAAATTTGTGTTATAAAATATATTATTTTTAACGAACAAGTTCATCGGAAAAGTTATTGTCAATAAAGTATCGTAAAAGCTTCCTAATGTTTACATAAGTAAACACCAGTATTTTTTTTTTCACTAATTTAATCGAAATATCAGTAGAACTGGAAGCCAAATGAGGGGGTTTGGTTGGCTGATATGAAGTTCTTTCGGTTTTGATTGTTTATAAATTATTTACATAAAAAAATAATTCAAGGTACCTACTTTTACTTAGACCAAAACTGAAAAATCTTCCGAAGTTCCCTATTAATTCAATTAGAAATTTGCCGACTTATCGTTAAAAAGATTAATCATTCTATAATTTGAACTGTTGAATCACTTTGTCGGAGAACTAAAAATATTTTATGAAACTTACATTTTTAATAAAGGTTCAAAATTTATAAAAATAAATATATAAAGTAACTAAAAAAATTCGATAACTTCTATATATAAAATTATTTTAATCATATATATATAAATAATATAATTTCAATAATAATCTTAAGCTCCGCCCTTGCCTGGGATGTTGGTCATGCAAAAGGTTACTGCCAAGATTACTTTTTCTTTTCTTCGTTTTTGTAAAAATTATTTTGTAGCAACATTTTGCGACATGTTTCTGGGGATATGTATGATAGTTTCTTTTTTGACCAATTACTTTATTTTAACAAAAAAAGGGCGTAAATACTCGTAAACCAACCAAGCCATAATCATTAAAATTCACAAAAACTAGATAATTAATACATAAAACAAGAATTTAAAAAGTCTCATTTCCCAATAATGTAGTACTAGTAGCTAGCTTCTCACTTTCTCACTTCCCAACCATGTAGTACAATAGACCACTCGATCAACATCTCACAGTGTTTTGCAGGGCAGTTTCTTTGATGGTTCAAAAGCAAAAGGCCCCACATTAAACAGCTTTACTTCTGGCTCTGATAATGTCATTGGAGATGGTGGTGCAGGGATCAACATGGCTCCACTTTGCCCATTGTGGAAATTTGTTGGAACACTGCATTCTGCTTTTGGTGATTTTGCTAAGAACACCTTGCACTTGTGGTAACCTGCTGTGGTCAACCATTTTGGTTGAATAAAGAAGAACCCATTCTTGTCTGTTGTGCCTAGACTTGTTAAGTGATACTTTGTGTTGTTACATGCCAACTTCACTACCGCTCCTGTAACACAAATGAACATAGTCAAATTTAATAAAAAAAAGTTATCACAACATTTATAAAATATTTAGTACTTTGAAACTGAGACACGTAGAATGAAACAAGAGAGAGAATATGATGTAATGAAAAATTTCACCTTGGATAGGAGAAGCTCCTAAGAGGGTGTCAACTCCTCTATACTTGCAAGCTTTGCAGTAAACAACTCCTCTCACACCTACAAACTTTCTGACCGGAAGAGGAGACGGTGGTTTAACCGGTGGATGAGCTGGCGGTTTAACTGGTGAATGAGCTGGTGGTTTCACAGGAGGAGAAGGTGATTTGGTAGGTGAATGTGCTGGTGGAGTTGTTGGTATGACTGGTGGTGGAGATGAGTGGGAGGGAGGAGAAGCAGGGGGTTGGGAGTGGTGCTTAAGGTGGTGGTGGTGGCCACCTTTATGAGGCTTAGGGGCTTCAACAGGTGGGGAGCTAACAAGAGAATGAGGAGCTAATTCTGAAGCAACAATGCCAGCATCATTTTGGCCAAGCACAGTGAAGGAAGTAATTAGTAAAAATGCAAGAATAAACCCAAGGGACTTTGTTGGAACAAAATCCATTTTTTTTAGACAAATGGTGTTGTAAATTGAACTCTAAGTAGGTGTGGTGTGCAAGGGGAAAATGGATGAATTTATAGTGAGGGTTGAAGAGTCATATTTTGTACGGATTTAACTCTTTTTTATTATTTATTCTTTTCTTTTTCCACATATATACTTGAATAGAAGTCTCGTGTCAATATTTTAAATTAAAGGTTCAAATTTAAAATACAAATAAATCTTCACCTTTAGTTTTTAATTATGATATATGATTTCATTCCAAGTGTATAGTTAGAATAACAGAGAGAATAAATAATGGAGATGATACACTACCCCCCTCTTTTACAATTTATTTTTCAAAAAATTAATTTTTTTATACATTCTATATATCTTTTTAAAATTTAAACATCTTCTATATATCTTTTTAAAATTTAAACATCTTCTTTTACAACAAAAGGATGAAAAGACATATAATTTTATAATTTATAAGAATAAAGAAAATAAAAAGGAGCATGAATCATGAATTAAGGGTCCATCTGATCCTGTTTAATGGCCGAGACGTGAGGATTATGACAAATAAAAGGGGTAAAATTCATAATGAAGAAAATAAAGATATTGTACAGGTGGCTAAATGCTTGACATGCAGAGGACAGGATGGGGCATCTTAATTTTGCACATCTATCCATACCCTGTACAATTTTCCATAGGTTATGTGACATCTTACTCCTTTAAATGATTATAAAAGGAGAAATAGTCAGATCACCAGATTCAAATTGGCTTTTCCAATTCCAGCAAATTATGTTTAAATGCTTCTAATTAATATTACATATTCTGCAAAAATAATTAATACTTTTTTAATTATGTTAAAATAAAAGCACAAAAATATAATTCATTTTGAATTGGAGTAATAGTATACCTTTTTGTCTGGATATAAACAGAATTCCAGGAGTAACGGCTAAATTGGAGCAGCAGCTTGCCTCTTCAATTTATGGTTTACTTCTCGAGGAAACTCTCTTTTACATTTCAAATTGACTAATGTATATAGTTAAGTGAAGGATCAGTATTCCTAATTCCTCTTTAATCATATGTTAGCGATTTGAATTTTAAATATTTGAATCCTAATTAATTGAATCTTGAAATGATTGATATCGAGTTACATAGCTCTTATGTTAAATATTTTAAAGTTGAAAATTGATGGTTTTTGAAATTTAATATTTTGAAACTATTTAATATATCCACCTTTTAGGTGAAACAAATTTGCCTAAAAATTATTATTTCAAAGATAATTTATGTTCGATATCAAACGAGTCCAAAGAATATACTGTATTACTTTGACCCTCCAATTATTGAAAGCTGTGTAAATGCATTGATTGGAAATCAAAACCAAATTACCCGTTGGTATCAAACATTGGACAAGGGATAATTATTTTTCCTTTTCCATCTTTGCTACATCACGTGACAACAACATTTCATCTTATTGGGTTAATTTTTTTGAGATAATTTATTTCACTATGTATATATATATGAGATAACTTATTTCATCATTATTATATAAATAATTAAATAAATTATTCCAAACATAAGAATCAAACAATATATTTTCAATCTCTCATATCAAATGATCCCTCAAAACATACTTTTTAACTTCAAAACTGAAAATACTCTATTTATTATCTTACCACATAAAATTGATAATGTGTATCAACGGAATATGAGAGTAAGCATACATGTATCACTTTTGATTAATTGAAATCAATAGATAAATGCAGATTTCACAAATTTTCTCAGTAAAGGTAACTAAAAAAAAAGATACTTTTTTTTCTCAGTTTATTGTGCTCGAGGCCTCATCTAAATATTACAAGAGTTTAGATTTGAGGAACTTTGCAAATAGCTACTGTAATAAATTTTTTAAACTCATTATTATAGTACACTCGGGTCACCTTATAATTTAATTATACACAAGGATAAACATGTGTATAAAAGACATATATGATGCTATATTAATTAGTTTGATATAAATGTCGATTAAATTTCAATCCTAAACTTAAAGTACTCTCATTATCACATTTTTACCTTTCCTTTTTTTTAAAGAAAAAATTTATATGAGACCTCTTTTTCCTATTCAATTAAGAAAGGATTTAGACATTTTTTATATATAGCAACTCGTTTATCGTAGTAATCTCATATTTAGACTATAAGATTCTAAAGATACTATGATAAATTCGTATTTAATATAACATGGTCACTAATATAATTTACTTCGTTTTATCAAGAAAATTAGTACAATTTTTTAGATCAAATTACAATATAATTTTTTTTCAGGTTTCAGGTCTAAAGTTGCAAGACAGAGGGAAACAAAATTCATAAAATGAAAGTCAGGACAAGGCAATATTATAAACTTTTAACTTTTTTTTAATTGAAGTTGATTTCTAGCGCAAGTACAAAGATGTATCGTTCATGTGAAACTAGAGAAAGGAAAAGATAAAAGTATTTTCCTTGATAAACTCCATACTTTTATTTTCCTAGCTAAGTACTCCATTAATATTGAAGGGCTCAATTTTTACTTTCTGCATGGGAATTTGTTTGGGGCTTCGAATATAAAAGGCCCAACACCAAAGAAATCAAACATTAGGCCATGGCCTGGGCCATGATTACCCGGTGGCAGGATAGGTTTCAATTGAGCACCCGATTTTCCATTGTTGAAATTTGTTGGCACATTGCAAATTGATTTGGGTGATTTCACTAAGTATACTCTGCATTTGTGTACATCTGCTCTGGTTAAAGATATGGGTGTGATAGAGAAATCACCATTCTTGTCTGTCAATGCTGTTTGAACATGTGCCTTTCTTCCATTATTGTGACAAACTAGCTTCACTGAAGCTCCTGCAGTGAATATAAACAACAAAACCATTGTTAATTTTAAATGTAATAAGCTTGTAAATCACAATAATCAAGCCTAATTGTTCTATTAAACTATTTTAGTATGGCTATATGTAACCTATAAAATTGAAAAGAAAAAACTTTTTCGGGTGGCATTGTGTTTGTGTGTTGAGTAAAATGCAAATAGAATGAGAATATGGGTAATGAAGAGAAAAACCGTGGAGTGGGAAGGCTTTAAAGAGAGAAGGAAGGCCTCTGTTACTGCAAGATTTGCAATTCACACGGCCGACGACGATTAGAGGCTTTCCGGTGGGATGAATTGTTGGTGGTGGAAGCTTAACTGGTGGACTTAGAGTTGGTGGAAATGGTATAATAGGTGGTTCATTAATTGGTGGTGGCTCATGAGAAACGGGTGGTGGCTCCTGATCAACGGGTGGCTCGATGTCTGGCGGTTCATCATAATCAGTTGGTGGTGGTGGTGATGACCTGATAGGTGGTTTACTAGTTGGTGGTGATGGCGGTGGTGTTCTCCTTATTGGTACCTGAGTAGCTGGTGGTGATGGCTGCGGCGGTCTGTTTATTGGTGGCTGGGTAGGTGGTGATGGTGACTTAGTTGGTGGTGGCGGTGACTTAGTTGGTGGTGGCGGCGATGATTGTGATGGTGACTTAGTTGGTGGCGGTGGCGAGGGTGAAGGTGACTTAGTTGGTGTTGGTGGCGGTGGTGGTGGTGACTTAGCTGGCGGTGATGGTGGTGGTGATGACTTAGCTGGTGGTGATGGTCGTTTAGCAGGTGCAGGGGTCGAAGGACTTTTCTTAGGAACGCGTCCAATCCCTAACCCTTTGGTTGAGATGATTTCATTGTCCTCACGATCATTGTCTAATGATGAATTTTCAGCGACTTCACCAAAGCTGAGCTCTGAGAAAGAGGCAACTACTAATGATAAAACTTGTATGAGCACCATGGCCTTTGATGACCTAAACGCCATACTTAATTTGTTACCTCATGTAAAATGAAGGAAGGTGAGAATGAATTTATAGGAGCCATATATGTCACACTAATAAATGAAAGGTGATACACATTCAAATAGCTAATTTTTAATTAAAAATAAATTACTACTTATTACTTCACCACACCCCGTTAGTAATAATATATCTTAGATCATCGGTATCTATATGCTACAAGGTTAAGTTATACATAGATGCTGATATTGCTCTCTTAAAATTAGTGGTGTAAACCTAATGTTTTAATTAGTTTCCTCTTAAGTTTGTTTCAACGAGGAAGGAGTGAGAAGGACAAATATTTCTTATGCAGGAATCAGTTTGACTACAACGCAAGATTCAACAAGTAAGTAAGTAATTATGAAGTTACTTGCATTTCGCAATTACCTTAACATGTGCGTAATTGTTTTCTTTAGCTTTATATTTGCATCTATTAGTTATTTGAGTTGTGGTAATTAATTAATTAATTTTGTTGTTCCCTTTATACTCTCTAACATTCTAGGACCTGCACTTTTACAGAAAGAACTCAATCACCATAGCAAAAATTTGATGAAACATGGGGGCATGGACGTTATCTTTCACTGCCGGAATAAGCCATGTGATGAGAGTATTTCAGTTGGCTTACGAATCACCAAACATTTGACATGACATTGTTTTTCTTTTCTCATTTTGCTGGTTCTTTAAATAACACAGTAATTAATGTTCAATAGGTTATTTAGAAATATATTATAAGTTATTTAAATTTTATATTATTGACTACCTATAAATATAAATTTCATATTCAATTAGATTAATGATATCCTTAAATCATAAATTTTAAATTTTGAATCTAATAATTTTCGTTTTATGTTTTTCTTTGTCTTTTCTCGTAGCAAATAATGTTGTAATACAAAGTTATCCGGTATGAAAAAAAGATACTCACATGCAATTCGTTGCGGATTAATTATGTCATTAGAAATTTTACTTCATTGTATACATTCATTCTTGAAGAAATGCAAATGCAGGTTGAAACTGTAAATAAATCTTTGTCCGTAATTTGACTCTATTTTCCACCCCTCTTTATCATGCAAGGTAGGAAGTTTTTTGTATATGTTTCAAAATTTAAAATCGTCAGGTAGACTCCTGCTATTATGTTACAAAGTTTTAAATTAATTCCATGTCAAAAAATTTTGGTTTTGTTTGTCGATTAAGATCAAAGGTGACAAATAGACGGATTAAATTTGAAAGGTTCAAAACGTGTTGCAAGTTGATAAATAAACAAGTTGTTGATCCGTACTAAAGTTACTATGCTAACTCACCCAATTTTTATTGCATTTTGATTGCTTCATTTGATCTTTTCGTTGGGTATGTTTCAAGAATTGATGGAAAATAAAGGGAATAAAGAGAAACTTGAAAAGTTGAGAACTTGAAAAGTTATCTTATGCTTTAATGAAAAAGACATTTATCCCTCGTCGGTGGTCGAAAGTAAAAATAGGAGAGTTTAAATATAGAAATACTCCTACTAATGGTTAAAGGGTTGGAAAGAGGGACCCTCACGTCGTCGTTGTCGCTCTGCTTCAGCAAATCATCGAGAGATTATTTTTTGGACAAAGTTTATTTTAATTATTTAATCAATTTTTTTAGTTGATTAACCCAACCCGACTCGGATCCGCGTGCGGCCCATTTTATTCGGAAAGGTTGAGACATTTTACCCTGGGAGGTTATATTCCAAATCAAACCTCGAATACTAGAGGGAATAATTTCCTTAAGGGGACGCTGTGAGTTTAGTGGACTTGATTTTTTTCCTATTCAAAAGTTTTCCAGATTCTTGTACGTTTTACAGATTTCAATTTTTTTATTGTCAATTAAATTTCTGTTCATCTTTCTTACTGTTCAATAAATTTATTACTTCGTGTTTATTCTGGTTATTCTAACATAGATTGTCAATACTTTTACGAGTATAAACAATCGATAGAATTATGTTTTTATGAGTTAATTTTCGTATTAGAGATCATCAATTGTTCCAAATTGACTTAATTTTCGTATTAGAGATCATCAATTGTTCCAAATTGACTTAACAATACTTTATCATCTCCCAAATATGGACCATATATGGAGTTTATTGTAAATGCGTCGGAGATATTTGAACATATAGTTCTTTAACAACAACAACACTTTTAACTTTTCATATATATAATTTTGAGTTGTATATGACTCATTTGATTTTTTTTATACGTGTATATAAAGTTTTTTTTCCCCTCAACTGTGTATTGAAAACAAAAGAAAAAAATTATTTGTCATAGCTCAATGCCCTTAAACTTATTTATTTTTCTGTAACCGCATCCCATAAAATGGGACTGATAGAGGAATCGTGTATTTTTTACTTAGTTCAATAATACTATTAGCCTATGTTTTCTGTGAACAATGCTGTTATAATTTTCTATGCATAGCACATGGTATTTTGCTTGATGCTTCAAAAATAAAAGGTCCAACACCATATAAATCAGACATGGGTGGTTGTACCACTGCAGCGGTAACAATCGGTGGCTTAGGAGGTACGACATGTTGCAATAGAGCACCTGTTTTTCCTCCATTGAAGTTTGTCGGTACATTACAAGTAGGATTTGGTGATTTCACTAAGTATACCTTGCACTTGCCGATATCTGCTCCCATTAACGATTTGGGCGTTATTCGAAACTCACCATTCTTGTCTGTTATGGCTGATTGAACCATTGCATTCTTCCCGTTGTAGCAAACGAGTCTCGCAGAAGCTCCTGCAAGAAGAGGAGTATTAATTAGCATAACCTTGGAAATATAGTAAATTTCAAAAGAATAATAGTATTAATTGCAATTGTGCATCCAAACAGAACAGAACATGTGTAATTACATTGTGATAAACAAGCAGGTCAGTAGTAAATTTTATAAATTAAGGCATATGTGTGTAGCAATATGGAGAAAAAAGTGTGTTAATTAAGTAATTAGTACCTTGGATTGGGATAGCGTTGAGGAGATTGGGAACTCCATAGCTATTGCAGGGTTTACAGTAAACAACTCCATTCACCGTTAGAGTTGTGACGGGAGGAAGAGATGGTCCGCGTGGAATAACAGGTGGTTTCGCTTATGGTGAGGATGGAACTGGGGCTATTATTACAGGTGGATGAGGAGATGGTGATGGAGCTGGTGCCATTACTGGTGGATTAGCTATTGACGGAGGAGGAGCTGGTGGAGGCGATTTCTTAGAAGGTGGTGGCGGTGGTCGTGATGGAGATGGTGGCTTAACTGGTGGTGGAGTTGGTTGTCTTGCTGGTGGTTGTTTTGCTGGTGGTGGTTGTTTTGCTGGTGGAGGTGGTGTTAGCTTAATAGGTTGTGATGGCTTACATTGGGAAGGTGAAGGTGGTGACTTATCAACTGATGGTGATGATTGTGATGGTGGCGTCGTTGGGTTAATAATAGATGAGACGATGGGCATTAGAGGAGCAATTAGAGGAGATTTATCAATAGGGGGGATTAAAACAGGAGGAATAAAAATGGATGGGTCTGTTGACGGTGGTGGTGGTGACTGTTGACACGGCGGTGGTGGTGATGGTGATGGCTTGTTGTCCCATGGAGTTTGTCCTAAATAAAAATCGAAAGGTAAATCATGAATTGGGGGGAAAAATATATCACCCAAGTCAAAGCCTTTTACATGGGTGAATGAAGAGAGTAGTAAAACTAAAAGGTAATGTATTAGCACGCCTTTCCCTGCCATACTACTTAACTTAATTAATCATATCATTTCAAGAATGTCAAATTGTGAATGATTTTATACAAACCTAGTACACAGACAGAGAATTAGGTTCTCGAATTTATTTAATTGAAACATCATTAAGAAAATAAAAAAGAAATATTTAAAACCATATACTACAAAATTAAACAAGTCCTCTGGCTGAATATTAATACAGTTAATTACACATAAATATTTGATATAGAATATTATCTTATCTATAACTATACTTTGTAATGTTTTTATGACTAAAATCGTTATTTATCGTGAATATTGGAAATTTTATGATTTTATTATGTATAATTTTTTTTTATAACAGCTGATTTTTAATCACAAATCTGAAATATTTTTTCGCAGTTTACCTCTCTTTCTCGCACATAAAATATTTAGTAGCACAATACATAAATATATATCATTTGACTCGTTTTCATTTTATATTTATATTCTTCAACTTTTACATATATATCCTTCAATTTAGGGTGTGGCAAATAAATGTTTTGAACTTGTGTAAAGTTGAACAAGTAGACACATGAGTCATATATGATATAATTCACGCAGTAAGATTCAACCTGTCATTAGGATAACCCGTATGACGCGTGTGTCTATTTGTTTAAATTTATATAAATTTAAATGTCTATTTATGCACACTTAAAACTCAATGACATAAACGTGAAATGTTAAACGATATATTTATGTAAACTAGATTGTAAGCAGAATGACAATTCAAGTATTTTGCACTAGTAAGTAATAATACATTGTACTATGTAGTTCTTCTAAATTACACATTTCCTTCAAAATCTTCAAGAGAATTTTTATGAAGCGCTAGAAAAAAAGTACTTGTAATTAAAATTTGGAGTCTTTACACTAATTAATTTGGTTCGAAGAACCATTTATCTTTGTTTTAATTTTATGTTAAATAAAGTATATTACTAGAACTTATTATTTCTTTGATCTATTTCTTTAGTTAACAGTAAATAAACCATCAAACATTGGTCATGGCCATAAGCATATACAAAAGCCATGTCGTGAGAGTTTATCAGTTGGCATAAAATTAAAATGATGGAACATTAGGCATGGGATTGTTTTTCTTTTATGCTTTTGCTTTTTCTTAAAACGGACATACTAATTAATTTCTCTCTAATTTTAATCGACGTCACGTGTAAGCGCTCTAGCTCGTTACGATTTCTTTCACAAGAATTTAAAGTTAGATATGTTTCTTTTTATATAGATGCAAGTTTAAAAACGGGGAAGGAAAATATAAGCATTGAAATGACGGCTACGGATAATTATGGATATTTACTTCATGCCCTTGGCATCCTTATTCAGTTTGTAGGGAAGGCCAAAACGACTATTGTTCTAATATAGAAAAGTTGTAGAATTTAGAAAGGGTAGAATAATCTTATACATAAAGTTAGTTATAACTATTTTTCAAATAGTTAGTTACAAAGTTGTTATTAGTTTGGTATAATGAAGAGTTATATATAAAGCTCTTCTTTGTATATGTTACTCACGTTTTTTGACACAAGAAATATACTACTCTTTCTTCTTCTTCTTCTCAACTTCTTGAATTTTTAACCAAACTAAGTCATTATATAAAACAATTTACCAAAGTAATACATTTTTCTAAAATTTTACAAAACTAGTATAAACGTATTTCACGGTAACGTTTTAGGGTATATTTATTTTAAAAAAAAACTAACAGCATTAGGTTGATATACGTTACTGTAAGTAACGTTTAACTCCTAAAACGTTACTGTGAGTAACGTTTTAGGAGTAAAACGTTACTGTGAGTAACGTATATCAATCTGACACCATCAACTTTTAAAAAATAAAATATATCTTAAAACGTTACTGTGGAATACGTTTATACTAGTTTTGTAAAATTTAAGAAAAACATATTATTTTGGTAAATGACTTTATATAATGACTTAGTTTGATTAAAACCTCCAACTTCTTCTTCCTCTTCCTAGCTATCTCTTAGCTGGTTTTTTCTTTTTCTTCTCATCATAATGAAGCTTCCTTCATTAACGAACATGGTATCAGAGCTTTGTGCTTCTCAGTAAACACTGATGAAGCTAGAGAATCCACTGAATCAAAGAATCACAGTTGATTCATAGATTTACAGTTTTATTTTTTTAGAAAAATTGCAAGATCAAAGAATCAATTACTGATTCACAGAGTCACAAGTGTTACAAGTTCTGCTGGAAAGATCTTTAAGTTTCAGTTTATTGAATTACAGCTGAACATTGTTTCTCTTGCAGCAGCTAGGCATTGGCATATTCATCAAATGGATGTATTCAATGCTTTTCTTCAAGGTGATTTGGATGATGAGATTTATATGCAACTACCTCAGGGATTTGTTGGTCAGGGGGAGAAAGTATGTAGACTAACAAAGTCCCTATATGGTCTGAAACAAGCTCCCAGGCAATGGAATCAAAAATTGACTGAAGCTCTTAGGAATCTCAAGTTCAAACAAAGCCAACATGATTATTCCTTGTTTATTAATCAGTCAGAAGAAGAAACTATATTAGTGTTGGTTTATGTTGATAATATGCTAATTACTGGCAGCAGTCTTAAACTAATAGAAGACACAAAAAAGGCACTACAACAAGCATTCAAGATGAAAGATTGTGCCTAATTCACTTTCTCGTTAAATAATTCACGAGTGATGTTTGAGGAGTTGGTAACGCTGGTGGAGGAGATGGCGGTGACGGTGAAGGGCTACTGGGAGGACTTTCGGGATAGAAAGGAAAATCCCATTTATAAAAATCACTTACCTAAGCTTCTACAAGACTCAGCTCTGAGAAAGAGCTAATAACGACCAACATTGAAAGTTATAAAATCACACTAGTGGAATTAATTACAGCCATACTTGTTAACTCAACTCAAATATTGTGCCTAAAAGAAGGCAGATGGGAATGTATTTATAGGAGCATGAAAAAACAAAAGAAAGTACCTATTCCATATGCTTTAATTTAATTTAAGAGTCTTAATTTAAATAGACATGAAATTTATAAAATAAATAGAAATTTTTGAATCTTCTGACTTTAAGGAACTTAGAAAAATAAGTAACATAGGAATTACCGGAACCAAAAGAACAACAAATTTTTTCAAAATTTTCAAAATAGGTAACTCAATATATTATGATACAAAAAGGGTAACATTTTCTAACTTTTTCTAACGTTGTTTAAAATAAGGTTTTTGAAATAAGACTGAAATCCATATGTATTTTGTTGTTTCTTAATGTGAGTAAAATTATACATCATATCAAGTAACATTATACTTCATATCAAGGTAAAAAACACTCACAATATTTTAATATTTATAGTAAACATGAACCATGCATATATGTTAGGAGTTTGAAAACTTCAATTTTTTATTTTTGAAGTGTTTATTTTGAATTTTTAAAAAAAAGTACATGTAAAGATGATTAGTATTAAGTTTGAATGCTAAACCAGCATGGCCTACAACATCATAATATGTAAATAAATATTTATAATTTGATGAATAAAAATGACTTTCTAAATTTGTTAATGAACCATTGAAAGAATATTTGCTTGTCAAAAACTATTTGATAAAGATGATCTATTTAGCTTAGGTAAGAATTGAATTACTATTGATTTATTTCGTAGTCAAACCCACTATATATCACTTCAAAACCGCTTTATATAAATATATAGCTAATTAAGAACTATGATTCCGCTTTTAGGTCTTACATTTGTTTATATGTTTTCTTATATTAAATTTATCATTAATGTCATTTCGTCATGCATAAATACAAGATAGAAAAGAGATTAGTAGATTCAGAATCTAGAACCATATATTGTATTAGTACTTGATACTTTAACTTTATATCCATTTTTCAACATATTAGTACTAAATTTTTGGTATGGCAGGTAGTTCGTCACTATATTCGCAGCGACATGGTGGGAAGCATTGGAGGCTCATCACCTTGTGGCGGCATCACTGGTGGCTCCTCACCTTGTGGCGGAAGCACTGGTGGTGGTGGAATCACTGGTGGCTCCTCACCTAGTGGCGGCATCACTGGTGGCTCATCACCTAGTGGCGGAAGCACTGGTGGATCCTCACCTTGTGGCGGAAGCACTGGTGGCGATGGAATCACTGGTGGCTCCTCACTTAGTGGCGGAAGCGCTGGTGGATCCTCACCTTGTGGAGGCATCACTGGTGGCTCCTCACCTGGTGGCGGAAGCGCTGGTGGATCCTCACCTTGTGGAGGCATCACTGGTGGCTCCTCACCTGGTGGCGGAAGCACTGGTGGATCCTCACCTTTTGGCGGAATCACTGGTGGCGGAATCATTGGTGGATCCTCAACTGGTGGCGGAAGAACTGGCGGAGAAGGTGGTTGTTTCTTAGTCCGAGGAGTAGGGGGACGATGTCGAGGCTGAACTGGTGGCGGAAGAACTGGCGGAGAAGGTGGTGGCCTCTTAGTCCGAGGAGTAGGGGTACGATGTCGAGGCTGAACTGGTGGCGGAAGAACTGGCGAAGAAGGTGGTTGCCTCTTAGTCCGAGGAGTAGGGGGATGATGTAGAGGCTGAACTGGTGGCGGAAAAGGTGATGGCCTCTTAGGGCGAGGAGTAGGGGGATGACGAGGTCGATATCGATGTCGTTGTGGAGTCGGAGGCTTAAATCTAGATCTTAAAGATTCATGAAGAGCTACATCATGAGATGAATATTCATCACTGAATTCCTCTCCATTAGTGAGCTCTAAGAATGAGATAACTATTAAAACTGAAACTACAAATAGCCACTTCGTTGATATGATACCCATAATACTTGTCGTTACAATTTTTTCAAAAGTAATGTATGTTGAGTACGTAAAATAACGTTAAAAGGACCAAATTTATAGGACCATGCAAAAAGAACATTTATGAAATTGTAGTTGGGACAATGGGCTAAGCTATTAAATGAGTTTGCCCTATTTAAATCAAATTTATTGCAGCATATATTATCTAATATTTTTAACCTTTATATATATTATCTAATATTTTTAACCTTTATACTTATGTGTTCACGTCAAAAATAATTATTACTTTAACTGTTATTAAATATATATATTTTTAGCGATAATTAATATTTTTTATATATGTATTTAAAGCGTTTAACGATATTAATTCTGATAATATTTAACTAATATCGATAAAATATTAGCACTTTTTATTAATATTTATATGTACTGTCGCTAAAAAATATTTTTATTGAAGTGTCACACGTTTTATTGCTTTATTGATCCAAAGTGATAGATTTGTTGTATCAAGATTTAGGAGAAAAAATAAGTATATTTAAGTAGTAGCATTAGCCGTAGAAAAATTCATGCGTTCATTTCCTTTTTTCTTTTTCTTTTTTAAGGGAGAGAGGAATGTGATTTAATCCGGTTAAGTACGAAGAGCCTCAACCAATCGAACAAGGACACATTACTGTGCACTTTCTGTCCCAACTAATTGTTTATCTATTAATGCAATGTGAAATTTTATTAATAATTAGAAAAACTAATTTAATTTTTACTTAATTAAACCGATCAAGAAAATGTTTAAGTTCTACAAGCTTCCCTCAGTTTAGCATAATTTCCATTTTATGTGGGTAAAAAAGTTAATGAACCCTTTGCCAAGTTACCAGAATTTATAAGTGGAGTTGAAATTTCCTTTTATTGAACTAGTCGTAGTACAAAATATTAGTTGGTAAGACTGCAGATAATTTTAATAAGAAGAAGTAATCTCTGCAATCACCAATGAAAAAAGTTGAACCCATTTGTATACTGTATTCTTCATAATTTATATGACAACGTGTAATTTAATACAAAATTTGATAAATAAAGACTTTTGAAAATTTACGATCTAAATTATTCCTATATTATTTGTGTAGCTACAAATCATATATTAAATGATTTAAAATGATGTTTAATGTTGTTATATGAAGTTTCGTGAAGTTTGGAGGTCAAACGCCCAAGAACGTCCAAGGCGTTCGAAAGATAGCCCCTAAGACGTTCATCGTATGTTAGTTGGGGCCAAGGCTGTGTTGGACGCCTTATAGGTGTTTGTTTTGGATAAAATTTATGTGGAAGGTCTATAACTTGTTAAGGTTCGTAATCACTTTGGAAACGTCCGGGTACGACTTTTAAAGGGCCCCATAAGAAGGACCCAAAATCAGTGTGCAGGAGGTTGTCCCAAGCAGACCCTGGCGACGGAGCAGTCAACGGCCAGTCATGGCTGTGATGCCCCGTCAAAGGGTCCTATCGTGAGGGACTAAGCCAAGGGTGAAGGGAGAAACCTTGGGCAGCCACTGTAGCCAATGACGGAGGCCTGTGACGGCTCGTCGTGGTTGTGACACCCCGTCACTGTCGCGGGTGGATTGATCATCATCAATTCAACATAAATTCATGTAAATAACAACATATACAATCACTTCAACGATAATAGAATCATAATTCAATCGATAACAAATCAAGATCATAACGCCCATGCAAGGCTAAATCGTTTTGGTGATAGAGCATGGGTTTATCATGCAATTAGATTGAAAACCACTTCCGAATCGGTAGATAATCATCAATACATTCATATTATGCCTTTGAAATCAGTTTAGGAAAGAACCCATGGAAGATTGAAGAAGAAAGTGTGTGATCATATTTTTCTCTTTTAAATCTTTGAGAATGGCTCTCTAGATGAAAAGATAACTAGAGATGAAGATCACCATAGCTTTGTCAAGTTGAAAAGCTTTTAAACTTGATGATTCATCCATGAAAAACCCATCTTGAATCTATTCTTGAGCTTCACCAACAATGGTGGTTTCTAGAGAGAGTATTTGTGAAGGGGAAGGCTTAAAACATGTATCACACACTTATATTTTATCGGGGTTCTAGTGGTGTAAACGCACCCTAAGTGTTGACATGACATAAATAGTGTGCGAGTTGAAAAAATTGATAAAAAGATTAAAATATTTTAACTTTTTTACATATAGTTTTTCCCCTCCCTCTTCTCTCTCATCACTAAAAAAATCACCCCACATGTGTACATGTTTTTCATCACCATTGTGGAACCACCACTAGTTCACTATCATAGCAGCTCTCTTCATCCATCTTTTAATACTTTCCATTAATTGTCTCATTATTTGTTCACAATTTGTAAAATTATAAATTACTATCGAAATTACCAAGTAAGCATTAAGATTATTACTCATATAGTAAATAAAATTAAATGTCTTTAATCTTTTTACCCTAATAAAATTCACCAACCTTCAGATCTTATCTCTAATCTCTATTATTGTTCGATGAAGAATTTAAACTACACTAATAATGATTTTAGGAACTTGAGCGGCAACCACCAATCAATTATGTTCAAAGAAATGACCTTGATTGTATAGTTGGAAGAGATGGTCTTGATCCTTCAATGGAGTAGAATTCATCAATGAAATCCTTATGTGATAAATTCATTAATGAAAAAGACCCAAAAATCGCAATAGGTTGCTCAACATTGTTAAATTCTAGCTTTAATAGAGAGCATCAAAATTTTACCAGTGTTCATAACTCCGATGAAGCTCGAAGAAAATGGTGACAATCAAGAATGTATCCTCCAATCTGAAAAATCAATTTGTCAATATAAAAATAAAAGAGAAATGGAAAGGAAAAGTGAAGAGGGAAATATAGATGAAAAATTGCAAAATAAATGAGTCTTTTTTTGAAAAATCCCAATATTACATGGCAGGCGCGTGCAGTTTAAGGGTATAGATTATACTTTTAAATTTTCTAGGGGTAATCGGACTCTCTTAAAGAATAAGTGTGTTGTTTAGAATTGAGTAATATATTGGGGGAATTTTAGATAATTTTCTCTTTTACATTTGAAAAATTTAACGGAAATTATTGAAATGATAAGAATTTTTAAGAAAATAAGATTTTTTTAAAAAAAGTGCATAGTTGTGTAATCTTTCCTATACACACTTTAACATTTCGAAATATTAATAAGGGTCTATGGTCATTAAGACACTCAATATAACAAATGTCACTTTAGGAAAACAAAATAAAAAAGGAACAAAACATTTCGGAAAATCCCGCATGACAAATATCTCTTTCCTCCCAAACCCCAAAACCACCCATAAATCTCAATCCAAATAAACATGGTTGTGCCAAGAAATTTATGTTGTGCTTTTGAAACAATGACTAAGTCTTGTGGTGATTATATATTTTAAAATTTACGATGTAGATCGATTCGTGATAGAGATTGATGTTTTTGATAAAACGAGAATGAATTGGAAATTCCGTGAAATTCTGCTGGCCAGCACAGTTGAGAAGTTTGAAGTTTTATATATTAATGTCATTGTTATTAACAAACATCTAGCACACGACGATAACGACGTCGCAATAATTATAAATTTAACTCCTATTACTCTCCAAACAATTACAAATTCATATCCAATAAGTCACTATATTTTGATAATTCTTTGCTTGTTTTTTATAAAATAGAGCAAAAAATAACGCCCATGTGCATGAGCCGTTCAAGGCTCCGGCAAGCATCCTCGCATGCCAATTTTCTCATCTCATGTTGTTTGTCACATAACAAAAATGAGATAATTATTATTAAATATCCCTCATGCAACTATCTAAATTAATTATATTTTGGACTTAATAAAAATTTGTTACAACTAAATTTAAAATATTTTGATAATAGTTTTTTTAAAATTTTAATTGACAATATATTAATTTCCATAAATTTTCAAAAACAAGGATAGACATATATATAAAATTGTTCTCCGTCACATAAGATTACAAGTGTTTATAGCTGAGATAAGTTACAGATTTTAATTTTGAAAAGTTTGTTCAGTTTATTTAGTTGTTCCAAAAGCTAGTAAGTTATTCTAGATATAGTTAAAATATTTTAAAATAAAATTAATTTAATACCATTTTTATTTATATAATGCTTCATATTAATTTTTAATTTAGCAGCTATAAATAATTAATATCACAAAGACATTTAAAATTTTAGTTAAGATAATTTCTTTTTAAATGTAATTATGAGAAACTCTCACATATAACCATTTAAAAATAATTAATTACTCTCCACAGCTATAGTTTGATAATTACAATTTGTAGCTACGTGTTATATGGAGAAGAGAGGTGAGCGAGACTGGGAGAGAGAGGAGAGAAGCGAGAGGGGGGGAGAATGGAAGAAAAATGAATTGTATATGTATATTGGTTAGATTATTGTATATTATACATATGTAATTGCATATATGACTAGAGAGATTGAGAGAGGGAGGAGAGAGGCGAGCGAGATCGAGAGAGGGAGGAGAGAGGCGAGCGAGAGAAGGCAGAGAGGTGAATTGTATATGTATATAATTGTATATTACTGTATATTACTGTATATTATACATATACATTTGTATAAATGGCAATCGAGTTTGGGAGAGAGAGGAGAGAGACGAGCGATATTGAGAGAGGGAGGAGAGACGCTAGCGAGAGAGGGCAGAGAGTGGTAGAGAGGTGAATTGTATATGTATATAGGCTAAAAAATTGTATATTATACATATTTATTTAATTTGTATATCCTGGCAAATTATACATATACAAACATGACTAATTATACAAACTCGAAGTCAGTCCACGTAATTAATGTATAATGTTAGTCGCGAGTGGTAATTATAGCAAACTATAACTATGATGAGTAATTAAATAGTATAAATTTGCTTATCAGCATAAATTTCCCTTTAATTATTTGTTAATAGAATTATTTCGAGTTTGAAATATTTAAAAGGCATTAAAAATATAAGAGAATCTTCAAAGTCAACTTTAAAAATATGATTATTCTAAATTGAGGTGAATTACAAAAAATTTAAAAATTAGAAAGTAATTGTAAATTTGATAATTACCTACGCCTTTCAATCATAATTACATCATTCGTACTTCCATAAATAGTGAAATCCTAAAACTATGTTCTTAATGATTGATAAAAGGTATAAAAAAAAAATTGAATTAGAATCTATTCCATTAACTCATATCTCAATGTTGTCCATAAATTCACACACATATATAGCTTATGTAAGCCATCGACTTGTCCAGAATTCATGTCATAATTCATAAAAGGCTAGGTGGCATAGGAGTTGGCCCCAAACCCGCAAGTTCAGGGAGCTTGGACATCTCTTTTTTCTTTGTTTTGTTTTTCATCGTGGGTAAATTGTGCTTCCAATAAGATTTTTTTGATATTATTAGATAAGGATTTCAATTATTTCATCACAATTCATAATGGTAATTGTGCTTCCAACAAGATTTTTTTGATATTATTAGATAAGGATTTTTTTGATATTATTAGATAAGGATTTCAATTTGTAATCCACGGAGAGAATTGTAAAATCAAGATTTAGGGGTAAAAAATAAATATTTTTAAGTAGTAGCATTAGTTGAAGAAAAACTAATGGGTTCACTTTCTTTTACTTTTCTTATTTTTTAGGGGGGATTGAATGGGATTTAATCCTTCAGCGGTGAATATTGTTTAAGCTATTTACTTTCTGTTCAAGCTAATTGCATATCTATTATTGAGATGTGAAATTTTATCAATAATTAGAAAAACTAATATCGTTTATACTTAAATTAAACTAATCAAGAGAATGTTTAAATTAAACTAATCAAGAGAATGTTTAAGTTCTACAAGTTTCCCTTAATTAAGCATAATTTCCAAATTCTGTGTGTAAAAGTTTATAGACCCCCTGCCACGTCACAAAAAGTTATAAGTGGAGTTGAAATTTCATTTTATTGAAACTAGTCACAGTACAAAATATAAGTTGGTATGGCTTTAGTAAGGAGATGTGATCTCTGCCATCACCGGTGAAAAAAGTTGAACCCATATATATACTTTATTCGTCCCAATTTAGGTTATGTCATTTAATTTAATATAAAATTTAAGAAATGAAGTGTTTGAAAAAGAAATTATGGTTTATTACTCCTATATTATTTGTATAACGATAAATTATATCACTAAGAATAAGTGAAATGTTAAGTTAATTTTTTTAATTTATAGAAAAGTGATATTCCTTTTGAAACGGACTAAAAATAAGTGTCATGTAAAAATTGGAACAGAAAGAGTACAATATATAAGGCTCTCGTGATTACTCACTAAAGCCAGAACAGAAAAATTCCAACAAGATTTGAAGAAAAAAAGGAAGTACGTACCATGAACTAAAGTTGAGCTTTTATGAAATTAAACCCAAACAATATCCCTTGTTCATGCAATATTAATATGGAAAATTACATAAATATACTATATTAGGAATATATTTATCATCTGTAGCAATAATATAGCAATAATATGGAGTAATTTATATTACGAAACCAACACTATTTTGGGCTGGTAAAGCCCAAAGTGTTCAATGGATTTGTAGCATATCTGTAGGCCCAATTCATTAATTCAAGCCCAAACAAGGCTTTGTTGAATAACAAGACAACACAAAACAAGAAAAAACATGTAAAAATTTAAGGAATCCCATACTGTAATTCAATAATTACACCTTGTCCCGACAAATTTAGTATTTACTAAAAATCCCTTAAAATTTTTGTGTCGTGATACTTTAGACTCTAGTGATACATGGTAAATGATACATGGTAAATTTAAACTGTTAAGAAAAAAATGGGGAAAAAATGGTACATTTAAACTTGTTAACTAAAATAGCTTAATTTACGGTAACAGATCATTAATCAGCATTAAATTAGCATGTAATTGAATATTAATTTCAAATTTTGAAAATCAAAGATTATATCATCTATTTTGAATAAAATTTTCAAAACCGCATGATACATAGAAAATATTATACTACACAACAAATTCATGTATCAATTCATCGTCTAAAATTCTATACACACTGATTCAAAATGTATCAGCAAGCACACTTGATGGATTCAAAATGTATCAATGCATCATCTAAAACACTATACACACACGATGGATTCAAAATGTATCAGCAAGCACACTGATTCAAAATGTATCAGCAAACACTTTATGTATCAATGCATCGTCTAAAACACTATACACACTGATTCAAAATGTATCAGCAAGCACACTTGATGGCGCAGTTATTAAAATTAATCACTGATACATGATAAAAATTTACGGTAAAAATTGGGAATAATTTAAGATTGAGTTAGTA